GTATAATAATAATATATAAATCCTGTATAATAATAATAATATATAAATCCTGTATAATAATAATAATAATATATAAATCCTGTATAATAATAATATATAAATCCTGTATAATAATAATATATAAATCCTGTATAATAATAATAAATCCTGTATAATAATAATAATAATATATTGTACATTCCCATCAACCGCAACTTATATCTATGCTCCTAATGGTGGCCATAGAAACTTTAAAAAATGATTGATTGATTTTCCGATCAGTCTCTTCTGGTAGAGATAATTGATCTATAACCGACAACCTATTCAATTGATATGCCACACATGGGGAAGTGGATTTTGATTGATGGGATATGATCCGAACTTAAGATCATAAGTTATTAATCACATCTCTGTTTCCACCATGTAATCTCACAAACGGATGATTGAAATAAAATTGTATTCTTGAACAAAGTATCTCAGTGCTGTTGATTGATGCAAAAAGATCGATAATATTCTGCTCTGGCTGTTAACTCAGTTTAATCAAAGTCTAAATCAGGAAAGTTATGGCTATTCAGTTGTTTGCAGATTCAATCACTTTGATGGAATCACACGATTGGATAAAAAAAACAGTCAAATCATGTGTGGCCACTATTAGTATTTCTTTGAAAATGAGGAGAAGGAAAAGCTGTCTACTAAGCTTAAAGTGTTACTAAACCCCGGACCCTGCATTCGCTATATCTGATCTCCCCGGACCCTGCATTCACTATATCTGATCTCCCCGGACCCTGCATTCACTATATCTGATCTCCCAGGACCCTGCATTCACTATATCTGATCTCCCAGGACCCTGCATTCACTATATCTGATCTCCCAGGGTCTCTGCATTCACTATATGTGGTCTCCCCGGACCCTGCATTCACTATATCTGGTCTCCCCGGACCCTGCATTCACTATATCTGATCTCCCCGGACCCTGCATTCGCTATATCTGGTCTCCCCGGACCCTGCATTCGCTATATCTGATCTCCCAGGACCCTGCATTCACTATATCTGATCTCCCAGGACCCTGCATTCACTATATCTGGTCTCCCCAGGACCCTGCATTCACTATATCTGATCTCCCAGGACCCTGCATTCACTATATCTGGTCTCCCCAGACCCTGCATTCACTATACCTGGTCTCCCCGGACCCTACATTCACTATATCTGGTCTCCCACAGTACACAGAACATGGAAATGCAATTATTTTAGTATATATAAACTGCTAAATACCGTTTCTTATCAGCAGTTAGAGCAGTCTTCTGACTTCTATCAGTGTCCAGCAGAGCACTGGTTAAATCTTGTAGGAGGAGTTTTCATTCTCCTCTGACTGTCCTATGAGGTTGCATAACCTCTGACCCTCTGTCTGGACAGTGTTGATTGGCCCTGTGCTGATGACATGCACCCTTACAAGAAAAAAAAAAAAAGAAGCTCTCTAGCAATACACACCAAACTGAGCATGTGCAGCTTGACACCCCCCCCCCCCTCCAAGGCTCTGCTTTCTCAGAAGATGGATTGGGGACAGTAGAGGGAGAGGATCAGATAAGTCAGGATCAAACAGCCTTTTTACACAGTGCACAGGGTTAACCCCTTAGGCTTCCACAGTGAGTATAACAAGCATGCTTTACTGCATATACAGACTGATTGTACTGATGTGGCTTTAGTAACACTTTAAGTTCAGTAACAAGATCACACGCTTCCTCTGTGTTGCGATTGGCTCCATAGCCTACTCTAAGCCTACTTCTGGTGGAAATGGCTAAAGCTCAGGAAGATTTGCTCCAGTGTGATCTGGTTTATGGAGTAATCTTCCAGATTAAACTTCTCCTTGGATTTATCAAGGATTCCAAATATTTAGGAGGACGGATGAGATTAGTTATACCTAGGCTTCACTGTGTTATTAAAGAGGATCTTCAGTGCCTCCCCCCCCCCCCCCCCCCCCGTAAAAAAAAAAAAAAAATGAAAGTCAGCAGCTACAATTACTGCAGCTGCTGAGTTTTAATAAAGGAACACATACCTGTCCACTGCCTTTGGTAATGCTGCAAACTGTTTCTAATAAATAGCAGTGCAAATACTTTTTTTTTTTTTTTTATCTTTTTGCTAGTGGTCACATAACTCCAGATCCTGATTGGCTTGGGGGTGGCCAGCAACAGCAAGGAAGTACTAGAGCAGTGACATCACATCACCAGCTCCAGTGCTCTGGGCGTTGTTGGAGGAGGTGGTAGTCACTTCCCACTAGTCGCAGGAGGCACTTGCAATAAAAATCCCCCCGAAAAACAGATATTTAATATAAACTGCCTGCAGCACTGTTAAAGACAATGGGCAGGCAACGTTTAAAGCCTAGTTTGTAGACCGCCTTTTCTTCTCCTTTATGAAGGGGTGAAATAGTGACCAGTGCTTTTCCAATGTGTCTGGTGTTTCCTCTTCTCTCTTCCTCTTGTTCTCCTTCTTCTTTAGAGTGGTCATCTGCCTCTACTCTGCTCATATCCTTAGGCAGCTTAATTCAGGATATTTTATTTATTCTGTATATATGTAGATATGTTTTTTATTATGTTGTTTGCTTGTAAGAGTTTTTTAATAAACAAAAATTTACATTTATTGCAGTATGCGGCCAGGGAGGAATGCTCAGAACTCAAGCAGTCTCTGTTCTGGGCATTTGTCCCTGGGTGCATACTGCACTAAACACGAGTACCACTCAGTGCACCATCCATCTGCAACAGCAGTCAGCCTCAGAGCTGGATGGTTTTCCTCCATTGGGGGAGTTTGCATGAATATAAAAAATGGATTAAATTGTGTTTTTGGTTTGTGAGGCTCAGATACAATGTTGTTCTGCTTTAAGAACATTGGTATTTGGCTGATTTTGGAAATGTGTTCACTTTATCATTGCACTGTTTTTTATACGAGTCCTTCTGTATTTTTAGGGGTGCTGGGGATCACCCCCCTCCAGGTGGAGCAAGACAAGAAAACACCATCTCGCCTGCACTGCCACTCAGGTGTGTATTGGATATTTGTGATGAAACCCGTCATTATCTATCAGAATGCAGAAGGAGCAAGTGGATGCTTGTCTAATATATCAGAGCACCGCTCCATCTGCAAAAAATTCCTGACTGATGTATAAAGGGAAACAATACTTTTGAGAATGTCTGTCTTTCTCTTTGGTCCCCCACTTACCTGAATCGCAGGATGCTTCTCTCTGCAGCCTTCTGTTTTGCCTCGAATTCGGTACTGCTGTGTGGGCCAGGCAGGAATTTGTGAATGGAAAGACTACAATTCCCATCAGCCACTACGGCTGAGGGACTCACAGATTTGAAAGAAGTGAGGTGACATCACTGCCCTTGTAGTCCATTGTTTACTTCCTTCAACCTCATAACTAAAGGCCTGTATGGAACTGGGGCCTGGGGTAAACAATGCTGGAGCCTGTGTATTGCTTCCACGATGCACTGATCAGAATTGCAGTAGTATGCAGGCTGTTGACGATCCGTGCAAAGGTTTCCCCTCCTCCCCTTCTCCCACAGCCTTCTGGGACACGTCACAGGTCCCAGAGACCTGTGGGACTAAGGGACTTAATCACAAGGCTGCAGATCACACAGTGGGAAGCCAGCAGTCACAGCCGGCTTCCCAAAGTAAACATGCCAGCTCCTGGACCCGAAGAAGCGGGCTCGGGTGAGGATCGCACTAGATCCCTGGACAGGTAAGTGTCCTATTATTAAAAGTTAGCAGCTACAGTATTTGTAAATAACAGAAGAAGATATGCGCAATGGATCATACACCCAATAAGAAGATCTGCCCAAAAAGGTAAACTGTGACGGTCCTAAATGGTTAAGTAGGCCATGATGTTTGAGGTAAAAGTCTTATAAGTCCATCCACTAGGGTAGGCCTATCCTAAAACCCTGTACACATGGGCTGAATATTGGGCAGCATCAGCCAATTCTACAGAAATGTTCATCCGGCTTCTGTCGAAGGGGCATGACTGAAAAACATCTGCCAATCACCTTCCAATCAAGGCTCTCAGCCAATGACTGAAAGTGATGACTGGTGTGTTCTGGCGGGGGGCAGTCCCCATGTCAGAACACAGTAGCACAGTGGGGGATACCACTTTACTACCACCGCTTGTGTTAGTACAACAATCTGTCAGGTTTTTTTTTTTTTTTTTCGCTCAGCCCATTGGGTTGAACGAAAAACAAAAAAAAAACTGAACGTTTGTACGGGGCAAAGAGCAGAAGCAGACTCTAGTTATCTGGAAATAAGAAGAAACCGGAGAGGCTCCTCTAAGTGTAGATTGTAGACAGAGGAAGCTTTCCTCTTGAGAGAGTGGCAATTGTCCCTGGAGCTTTATTGATGATGAGCCTTCCTGTTACTAATATATTACCATGTGAGTTGCCTAACCTGTGAACTAACAAAATAGTCGTACAATCTACACTTAGGCTAGGTTCACATCTGTAACAAGAAAAAGAGAAGAAAGCGCCTCTAAGTGCAGTACTGACAATTTATTTAGTAAACAATGGATGAATTGCACTTACAAGATAAATAGTTAAAAAGACTCATCGTGTGGTAATTAGACCTCTTTCAGGTCCGAAGCATGCTCCGAAATGCATTACCACCCCCTTCACCTCCTACATCCGACTCTGCTCTCCTAGCTTCATTTTGATGCACAGGCACATCCTGGACTCTACTTCCTGATCCTATAGACAGAGTTTGCTGCTGGGCAGCTGGATGGCCCACCTGGATCTAATTACCACATGACGAGTCTTTTTAACTATTTATCTTGTAAGTGCAATTTATCTATTGTTTACTAAATAAATTGTCAATACTGCACTTAGAGGCGCCTTCCTCTCTTTTTCTTGTTACTGCATTAGAGCCTTGCTTCCACTCTAAGAAGAGCTGTTTCAGTGTTACTGCTCCCATCCATCCATCCCTGATATCCATCTGGCACCTTATCCTACAGCTACAGAGGTTGGGCTCCAACAAGCACGCCCTATATAATATACATTTTAGGTTCACATCTGTGCGGGTGGTGCCGCTGCGGATCTGTGCAGCCGCACCACCCACACAGAAGAATGCGGACCCGCGGACGGGTGCCATTAGTTCTAATGGCACGCCACCCGCACTGGAAATCGCAACCACACTGGGAACCGAGGTTCCCGTGCGAGCTTCAGTTTCCAAAGAATTGCAGGGACTTCTTCCCTGCCTGTCACGGGAGTCCATTCAAATAAATAGGCACTCGAGCCTGCACAAAACACGGCCCGCACGGCCGCTTTTACTTGAACCAGGACTTAGAGGTGCTTCAAACACCTGTCAGCAGTTGTGAACTACCTAGAGGTATGGCACACAAAATATTCCATCTGCAAAAGTAAAATAGTTAAAGTGTAACTAAGCCCAATAATAAAAGAATCCTAGAAATTGAACCTTTCAGAAACGAAAAATCGGTTTAAGGGATGCAATAGTTCTTATCAAAAGTTATTACTTTCTACCTTCTAAAAAATGGTTTCATTCGTCAGTCCTCCAATGTAGCAATATCTGTTTTTCTTTCCATTCATTCCTGTCTCTTCTCTCTGCCCCCCCCCTCAGATGTGGTGACAGACTTTGCCTTTTCACCTTTTGATGACAATCTCCTGGTCACAGGATCTGCTGACCAAACAGTGAGTAGGAACATTTTTAACTGTTCAGACATCACTTGCCTTCTTTCTTTGCTAATTTAAAGTGGCTGTAAAGGTATTTTCCGTTTAATGTATTCTCTGCATTAACTACTTTACCCCCAGGCCAATGCTGACATTTCTCACATAAATTTGTTTTTTGTTTTTTTTTTTGCTAGAAAATTACTTGGAACTCCCAAAATGATATAGTTTTTTTAAGCAGAGGCCCAGTTTTTTAGCAAAATATAAAAGATGATGTTACACTGAATAAATGGATACCAAACATTAAATTATCCATAGGCAAAGCTTCAAAAGCCTTTACAGGTTACCAGTTTAGAGTTACACAGGAGGTCCGGTGCTAGAATTATTGCTCTCGCTCTGACATACAAAGTTTACATATGCATGCGAGACCTATATGACCAATAGCATTTGCGCATGAGCACGGGGGTACAGTGATGCTTTACAAATTATATATAGTTTTTATTATTTATTTAAAGGTTTTCTTTTGCTCTGTAACTTTATTTTTTTTTTTGGGATCAACTTTATTGCTATCACAAGGGATGAACAACATGAGAGGTCCTCTGGAGAGATATGGTGACTTTTAGATTCATTATCTCTCCTCTGGCCTCCAAAGCATCTGATCAAACCAAGATCAGTTTGATCAGATGCTGTACAAGCAGGTAATGGATTGTCAATACACAAGCCGAAATCCGTGATGAAATCCTTGTTACTTTCAATTTCTGATGTCAAGGAAGAGGAAAGTAATTTCCATTTTTTTCAGTCTATGCAATTGGACAGGTCACATTGGCCCCGGGAAAGGTTGAAATAAAATACCACGAAGCTGCAATACTGGTATATCCACTTCAATATGAGGCCATATACATGCCAGTGCCACAGAAAAGCCCGGTTACAGTATGTCTGACGACACCATGACATGCTTTCTTGTGGCATTGGCGCAGTAAAGGCTGCTTTCTGGCAACTCAACCATGCAGCTCATTTTTGTTCAAATATTGTTATATTGTGCTCCTTCAAAACAACCACAACATCTTTTTCCAGAGCAGTCTGTATTTCTTTCTCTTGAGGTTACCTATGGGTTTTTCTTTGTATCCCGAACAATTCTTCTGGAAGTTGTGGCAGCAGTCTTTCTTTGTCTACCTGTGCATGGCTTGGTGTAAAGAGATCCCTGAATTTTCCACCCCTTAATAAATGATTGAACAATACTGACTGGTATATTCAAGGCTTTGGACATCTTTTTATATCCTTTTCCATCTATAAAAAGTTCCATTACCTTGTTATGCAGCTCTTTTGACAGTTCTTTTCTGATCACCATGGCTCCGTATCTAGCCTACTCAGTGCATCCATGTAAGAGTTAACAAACTCATTGACTATTTATACACTGACACTAATTGCAATTTAAAAAGCCACAGATGTGGGAAATTAACCTCTAATTGGCATTTAACCCGTGTGTATCACCTTGTGTGTCTGTACCAAGGCCAAACATTCCAGGGGATGGAAACTTTTGATCAGGACTTATCTGGGTGATTTCTGTTATAAACACTTGACCTCTCTTCCTGAACGGCATTTTTTGGTATACGGTACTGCGTTATTTTAACTGACAATTGCGTGGTCTTGCAATGCTGTACATGAATAAAATGTAATTTTTCCCCCACAAATAGAGCTTTCTTATGGTGGTATTTGATCACCACTGGGGTTTTTATTTTTTGTGCTATAAACAAAAAAAATAACCGGCAATTTGAAAAAAAAAAAAAAAAACAATGTTTTTTACTTTCTGCTATAAAACCTATCCAATCATTTTTAAAAAAAAATCAATTATGATTTAAAAAGGAGCCAAACAACTATGTGATAATAAAAGGCTTCATATGATCACTATCTTTAAATAAAAGACAGTGTTTTTAACTTGATCAATTAGATTTTCAATATCCGTGCCAAAATTACATGATTTCTGCCAGGGTATGCAAACTTTTGAGCACAACGTAGATCCGTATGGCGGTATTTAGGTGGTTGAGGTAGAAAACCTTCTGTATGCAACACCCCCCCCCCCCAGCCCCCCTCTTACTTACATGAGCCCGATCTCAATCTAGCTCTGTACCCAAGAGCAGCATCTCTCTCTCCTCACAGGACATGAAGGCAGCAGTGAGAGCTATTGGCTTCTGTTGCTGTCAATCACAGTGAGGATAGAGTAGGGGGGGGACAGACCAATCCGTTCTCTGTGTGTCTATGGACACATGGAGGGAACAAACCTGCACAAGTGCCCCCATAGCAATCAGCTTGCTATGGAGGGCTCTTGGCAGGGAGAAGGAGCCAGGAGTGCCCGTGGAGGACCCCAGAAGAGGAGGATTGGGGCTGCTCTGTGCAACACAATTGCACATGGCAGGTAAGTATGACATGTTTATGATTTAATTAAAAAAAACTTTACGATCACTTTAACCGCCTCCAGCCCGCCATATAAGGAAATGACGGGCGCAAGGCGGTTCTCTCGTTCTGGGAGGACGTCATATGATGTCCTCCCACTGTAACCGCGCATGCGCGGGTTCGGGGCACGCAGCGTGATGATCGGTGGTGCTCTGTGTTCCTCGGACACAGCAGATCACCGATCAACGGAAAGAGCCAAAGATGTCGGCTCGGTCATGTGATCAGCTGTGTCCAATCACAGCTGATCGCATGTAAATAAGGAAATGGCGTTTATCGGCATTTCTCTCCTCATGAGCTGTCATGCTTATCGTACGAAAAAACGCCCGGTTTTCGAAATGTCTATGGCCTGCATAAACATAAAATATTGTATTTATACCAAGTCAAAGGACAAAGCTGATATGCTGAAGGCTACACTTTTAACCTTGGCATTCACTGATTGCATCTCTGAGCTGCTGAATACCTCCCTGTAGTTGTCAACGTCCATGGAAGAGCCCTCAATCTGAATATCCAAAACCATACCCAGTGTGTTCAATGGTTCCAGCATCATTCCCCTCCATGCCAACTACAGCCTCGCCTACTCATGGAAGAATTAGAGGGAGGCTATATGGCATAGAATCAAGAGATTTGTGACTAGAGATCCACTCAAACACAAAGGGAAAAGCTTTTGGGCTATTTTCTCACCACGTGCGTCCAGGCCTTTTTTTGCATCCAAAAAAGTATGTTACATGGTGTTCAATGGCATACAGTTGCAAGAAAAAGTATGTGAACCCCTTGGATTACGTGGAGTTTTGCATTTATTGGGCATAAAATGTGCTCTGAACGTCATCTAAGTCACAACAATAGAAGAACACAGTCTGCTGAACATAATACTACACAGACATTAGATCTGGCCATGTTTTACTTGCACATAACATATAAAACATTCACAGTGCAGGGAGGAAAAAGTATGTGAGGCCCTAGCTTAATGACTAGAGCTGATTGGAGCCAGGAAGCCAACCTTGACTCCAATCAGTTATGATATTGGATGTCTTGCTGACAGCTGTCCTGCCCTTAAAAAACACACACCTGTTTTGGGTTTACTGGTTTCAAGAAGCACTGTCTGATGTGAACCATGCCTCGCAGAAAAGAGCTCTCAGAAGACCTACGATCAAGAATTGTTGACTTTCATGAAGCTGGAAAGGGTTACAAAAGTATCTCCAAAAGCCTTGACGTTCATGTGTCCACGGTAAGACAGACTGTCTACAAATGGAGAAAGTTTAGCACTGTTGCTACTCCTCCCTAGGCGTAGTCGTCCTGTAAAAAAATGACTGCAAGAGCACAGCACAGAATGCTGCTTGAGGTAAAGAAGAATCCCAGAGTGTCAGCTAAAGACCTACAGAAATTTCTGGCAAATGCTAACATTTTTGTTGACACATCTACAATAAGGAAAACATTAAACAAGAATGGAGTACATGGGAGGACACCACGGAGGAAGCCATTGCTGTCCAAAAAGAATATTGCAGCACGTTTGAAGTTTGCAAAAGAGCACCTGGATGTTCCACAGCACTACTGGCAAAATATACTGTGGACAGATGAAACCAAGATTGAGTTGTTTGGGAAGAACACACAACACTATGTGTGGAGAAATAAAGGCACAGCACACCAACATCAAAACCTCATCCCCACTGTAAAACATGGCGGAGGGAGCATCATGGTTTGGGGCTGCTTTGCTGCCTCAGGGCCTGGACGGATTGTTGTCATTGATGGGAAAATGAATTCCAGAGTTTATCAAGACATTTTGCAGGAAAACGTACGACCATCTGTCTGCCAACTGAAGCTCCGCAGAGGATGGGTGATGCAACAGGACAATGACCCAAAGCATACAGGTAATTCAACAAAACAATGGCTGCAACAGCACAGAATACGCCTTCTGGAGTGGCCCAGTCAGAGTCCTGACCTCAACCCGATTGAAATGCTGTGGCATGACCTTAAGAGAGCGATTCACACCAGGCATCCCAAGAATATTGCTACACTGAAACAGTTTTGTGAAGAGGAATGGTCCAAAATTACTCCAGAAACAGGTCTGATCTGC